TTTCTGTCCCCTTCTCCCACAGAGCAGGGGCTGGCACTGTCCCCTTTCCCGTGGACTTGCCTTAGCCCCATTCTCCAGGCGGCAGGGGCAAAGCGAGGGGCGAGGAGTTTGCGCAGTGGGGTAGGGGGCTGAGAGCTAGTGAAGCAAAGTGTAAACCCTGGATGGGATGAAAACCACTTCAGGCCCTGGGAGGTGCACCATTTCTGTCCCCTTCTCCCACAGAGCAGGGGCTGGCACTGTCCCCTTTCCCGTGGACTTGCCTTAGCCCCATTCTCCAGGCGGCAGGGGCAAAGCGAGGGGCGAGGAGTTTGCGCAGTGGGGTAGGGGGCTGAGAGCTAGTGAAGCAAAGTGTAAACCCTGGATGGGATGAAAACCACTTCAGGCCCTGGGAGGTGCACCAACGCCCTTAGTTCCAGCACCAATTGAAAAGGGACACTGGGAGCTGCTGCCCCAGTGATTTCTGGGGAGGTGGAAGCAGGATAGCTCCTTGCCCTAAGAGTTTGCAGCACTCTAGCCTCTGAAATAGGTTTTAAAACGGGCTCCTCCAGTCCCAGCAGTGCTGCTGGAGGCTCTTGGCCAACAGGGCCCCCCACATGTAGCTTTGGAAAGTCTAGCACTTATGATAGTTGGGGGCAGGGAGATGGTTCTGGGAAGCTTCTCAGTTGGTCCCCATAGTTTGTTTTAAACAAGCTTGGGAGGAATGGGCTATGAAAGTGACTAGCAACAAAAGTGAAATTGACCTGTCTCCACATGGCCCTTTGAGAGAAATGGAAAAGCTACAGCCACAAGCAGGGAGAAGGCAATGAGACAGGCAAAGGACTGGGAGTCCAGAGTGCTTTTGTCATAGCTTTTCTGCCTGTACTTGAACAAGCGGTTTCACACACACTAAACCCAACTCACATGAGAAGCCCCATTAAAGTCAATGGAGCTACTCACATATATGTAGCAACTTCTACATATAAGCATTTTTTGGGTTGGTGCCTAGGAGTACTTCAATTTTGCCATAAAATGGGATTAACGAAATATCTACCTGTGGGGGTTGATGCGATTGCAAATCACTAATATGTTGTGCAAAAGAGTTATGAGATTAAAAACAATGAAATTAACATAAATGTATATATTGTTTTTCCTAAGATTGTCAATTGGTTAAAAATGTAATTGTGATTAATTATGTTGTTAATAATAGAAAACCATTTATTTAGCTTCAGAGGGGTAGCTGAGTTAGTCTGTAACTGGAAAAACTTTAAAAAAACCAATCAGCCTACCAGCACCTTAAAGACTAACAAAACATGTAGATGGTATGAGCTTTTGTGGGTACAACAGCAGAAGTGGGTTGTACCAACGAAAACTCATGATATCATCTACATGTTTTGTTAGTCTTTAAGGTGCTGCTAAACTATTGGTTGTTTTTTAAGTTTACCATTTATTTAAATACTTGTGGATGTTATCTTCATTTGCAAATATACTGCTCTCAATTACAACATAGAATACAAAGTGAATACAAAGTGTTCACTTTAT